TAAAAAGCAACAACAAATAAATCATCCAAGACTCAAAAACAGCTAGAAGAAACCCATTCAGATCTTAGCTTCACTCATACAACAGAAATGGCTTCACCCATTATGATTCAACTGCTGCTCTCCCCCACTGTCTCTTACGTGTTACTCTTGGCCACCAAACATTTCCATCCCTGGTTTAAGATCAGGATGTGGGAAAAACTGTCTTTCAACATATGCACTTACTGCTTTTGAGTTCATGTTTGGAAGGATTGCAGCAATGCCAGGAATATGTTTTTTTGGGTTGAAGTGGAAGGTTGTTTCAATGGCTGGACTTAAATTTTAGAGTTCCCTTCCATGTTTTTTCCCTTCCTTAATGGCCTTTCAGAAGATTTATAACACTTTCCTTTTTAAAAAGAACATTGGGATTGTTTGTTATTGTTCTTTGATCAAATTAATCAGGTTTCAGAATTGCTTTTTAATTGCTGTTCAGTTCTGGGGGTTTTTTTTGTTCCTGCTTGCTGCTATTTTAATGATGTTCTACAATTGTTAATCAGTTGTGAGCTGCCAGAAAAAATCTCTTCTGAGAAAAAATGGAAGGAATTCAGATAAAGTAATGAATATAAACTCAGGAAGATTTTTCTGTATGGTCACTGCTGAGTTCAAGGTTGTTAAGAAATTTGAATGGGGTTCATAGTTTTTAACATAGTCTTAAGCAACAAAATAGCAAATGACAGAAAAAATATGCAGCTAAAACAGTCACTGGGGTATATTTGCTCAAAATAGGAGTAGCGATCCAGATTTAAGTCTCTACTTAGCTAGGAAGCCATTTCTGCATTTTTCAGCCACTTGCTTAATTTAATGGAATTAATTTAATGGAAAATAAATTATGTTCTTTTCCTTTTCCAAAAGCAAGACATAAAGTGAAATGTTTAGGGCTGGGCAACATTGTTTTTGTATACAAGATATAACACTTAAAAGTGGTCTTACTAGGGCTTTATAGAGTGGTATTAGCACCTCACTTGATCTTGATTGTATCCCTCTGTTAATGCAATTTAGGATTGTGTTGGCTTTTTTAGCTGCTACTGCACACTGCTGACTCATATTTAGCTGATTGTCCACTAAGACTCCAAGATCCCTCTCACAGTCACTGCTATTAAGCCTGGTTTCCCCCAGTTTATATGTGTGCTTTTGGTTTTTCTTACCTAAGTGTAAGACTTTACTTTTCTCTACATTGGATTTCATTTTGTTAGATAGGGCCCAGTGTTCAAGTCTGTCACAATCCATCTGGATCCTGAGCTTGTCTTCTAGGGTGTTAGCTATCCCTGCCAGCTTAGTATCATCTGCAAATTTGGTGAGTTCCCCTTCTATTCCCTCATCTAAGTCATTTATGAAGATATTGAAGAGTACTGGGCCTAAGATGGAACCTTGTGGCACCCCACTGCTTACTCTCTTCATGTAGACTTAGACCCATTAAAGACTACTCATTGAGTACAGTTTGTCAGCCAATTGTGAATCCATCTGGTGGTGAAGCTATCTATCCCACTTTTTTCTAGCTTATGAAGTGTTGGGGTAAAGATCTGGACTGCAAAATTCCAAACGTCCACCAGATGACAACATTTAATATAAAAATTAGAGTTGATATATTTAAATGTATAATATTTAGATATATTAATTTAGCTACTAGCACCCATCTAGAGATCATCAGGATTTTGCAGCCCAGCTCTGCAAAATTGATTTTAAAAAAGAGATTTTCACATTGGTTTTGCCTCTGGTCAAATGAGAAATTCCTCAAGAATCCCAAATTTTCAGCACACCCACACATTCCCCCTAACTTTGGCTCAAAGATATCTCCCTAACCACTAAGAATACATCTTCATGCTATAGCCTTTTTCTCATCTCTAACACATACATAGCTGAGATCAGCTAATTCTGGACTTTGTCTGATCCAGAGTAGAAGTAGTGGTTTCCATCTCCTTCTGAAACAACACATGCTTAGCTGCATGTTTCTTGGTTGTAGTGGTGGTGACCATGGTGATGATCCAGATGGGACTGTGATCTGGCCACCTCCTATTGGCTGTTTTTGATTTTTGCAATCATTCCCTGCTTCTCTGGTCATTGCTGATTTCCCCTGCAGCCATTTTTGTTCATGGTGATGGCTTATATTACACAAGGAGTGTGGGAAGAGCAGCAAGATAATTAGAGAGAGAAAAATGCTCTACTTGTTAGATGTGGAGGAACAAAGATCCTTACAGACAGGTTGTCCTGGTTCTACACAGATCTGACAGGCAGGTCATTGTAGAGGAGGCCTGATCTACCATTTTCTCCATCTTACATAAAGCTACTGTTCCAATGAAAGGAGGTAGTCAAGAACCACTGTAAAGTGCTGTACAGATATCCTGGTTTACTAATTCCGCTAGTAATCCTAATTTAGCGCTAGCACTTATAGGTAGATTAGAACCAAGGGTGGGCTTCAAAAATTTTAGCAAGGGGTTCTCTGCCTGGTTGCTGGGTGGGCGTGGCCATGGTGGGCATGGCCTAGTTGGCTTCCTGCACCATGGCATGGTGGGGGTTTGCCCTCCCTGGGCTCTGGAGGCTTTCTTTGAGCCTCCGGGAGGGCAAAAACGGCCTCCCTGGGCTCCAGAGGCCCTCTGGAGGCTGGAAAGGGGCCCGTTTCTGGCCTTCCTGAACTTCTGGTAGGCCCATTTTTTGCCCTCACTGAGCCTCCGCACGCACCCTGCACTTACCTGCATCCAAAACGGACCACGTGGGGATTCCTGGGAGGGGTGGGCAGGGCAGGGTGGGGCAGGATCAGCCAGGAGTGGGATTTGGGGGTTCTCCAAACTGCACAGAATCTTAGCTAGAGGTTTTCCCGAACCCTGTGAACCCCCAGCACCCACCCCTGATTAGGACCATGCAAGTATTAGACAAGGGCGCCTGTTCTATTTCCTGTTGATAACACAGCATCAGCTTTCCTAGAGAAAGGGGTAGATTAGGAACTTTTGTGCAGAACTACAAAGGTGGATGTTTCACTAACATTCTTTCCACTAGCATGTCATTGGGTCTTAATTTACCCCTGCGGTAAATTATTCAGACAATATTATCTGCTTGCCACATTAAGGAGAAGGCGTAAAGACTAGCTATGTAGTCAGAACAAATTTTGCCATCTTATTTTTTTTGTACTACCTCACAACACTGATGACAACACTGTGACCAGTTTGTTTTTCAGAATTTTCTTTCATTATTTCATTGGCTTTTTTCATACAAGGTTGCTTATGTGTGTGTGTGTGTGCGCGCGCCTTCACATTATGATTGACATTTGGCAAATGCCTGGACAAGTCCCTGCAGTTTTCTTAGTAAGACTTTGAAAGTGCTTTGCCATTGTCTTCTTCCTAGGGCTGAGATACAGTGACTGGTTTTGTGCCTAAAACAAGCTAGAACTCATAGTTTCCCGGTCTCTAGCCTGATGCCTTAACCCCAAACTGGTTGTAGCCCCTTTGGCTCTTCCCATTTTTCATATCTTTTTCAGTATAACAATATTGAGACTCAGTATCTGTTGTATGCTTATTTTTCCCTCAGGAGACTGAATTAATCGCTCTGTAGTCGACTATGTGTCAAGCATTCTTGTCACGCACTTCAGAAATATGAATTGAAAACAATGTACAGGATGCTAAATGGGGATACCTAAGAGAAATAATGCATTGAACAGAAAATGGTGGTGGGTGGATCCATATTTCCTTTTATTCTTGCATCCTTTGAAAAGTTTACCCAGAAGGCACAATGTTTTGGACTACGGATTCAGAAGGCTGCTTCTCACTTCTGCCAGAAGCTGAAGAGGCCAATGTAGAGCCGTCTAAGAACAAACAGCAACGTGAGCCAAGGCTTCAGAATGAGGCTGTTCAACTTGACTGAATCTCAGCAACCGGAAGGAAGCCCAGACTTTAGAGAAATCTCTCAAACAAAGCTTCCTTTCCACTTGAGAAGTTATCTTGGAAAAGAAACTAATCTTCAATTATATTGTTTTGGTTGAACTAAAATAATCAATCATCCAAAGTCAGAGGCCTGATGCAATCCAAAATCTACAACTAAGGGGAAAATTTGCTGTACATGAAAAATTAAAGATATGCTTCTACAAGCCCAGAAACTAAAACTTATTGAAGTTTTTGAGAATTAAATATATTTGCAGAGCTCGCATCATTCATCAATATCTGATTTCTGCTTTGGCTCATCCACATTGGCAATTTTAATTTTGCATAATATTCCAAAAGCATTAGGTTCCATTAAAGATTCAAGACAAGAAAAATTGTGGGAATATAAAATGGGAGTATTCAGGGAAACCATCTCGGGAGCTTTGAATTCCCAAAAGTAAAACTTTATTGGATACACCATATTGGTACTGAAGAACAAAACCAGCTGTGGTTTTCCCGTGCAAATGCTTACCTACTTAAATAATAATTTCCCCTTCTTCCCACCCCTTGGTGATCACATTGTCCAATTAGGAGATATCCATTTGTTATGGGAACAGTCCTTCTCTTTCTCCAACACCTGAAGTGATGACCTTGATGGTTTCTGTGTTCTCATGATCTCCCCATACATTCTCAGCATTCCATTTCCCCCTTCCCTCCCCCCCCCAATTAATTGGCAAATTGAAAAACATTATGGTTTTAAAGAAGCAAACCGGTTCAATCTTGACAGCTTGCTTCTGTGGTCTTAGCCAGAAAGTATTACTTCAGGAATCTTCCTGGTTGCAGTGCCGATTTACGAGGCGGTTCTGGCAAGGGACAGGGCTTAGGATGATGCTAAAGGTAGAGCCGCTCGTGTTTCTTTCTGGTGCGAAGTCAACTTGCCCTACTGTGCTGCACCTTTGGAAGCATGTGAGCCTGTCTTACAACAGAGCTGGTAAATTGGCAGCCAAACTACTATTCTGCAATAGCATTGTGGTCTCATTATTATGTACCAATGCACTAATAATAACTTCAGGAAACAGATGAGACTGCTACATATATTTGCAAGATATACACAAGTGGAAATAAACCAGGTTTCTTTATTAAAACTATACTGATTAACAATTTATACAATAGAAATTTATTTTCTTTGGAGGATGGTACTTACGTTCCTTGTTACAAATAATGATGGATAACAGACATACAATACAATAATGAAGATTAGGAAGACTTCTCTAGGTAGTCCAACAATAATTTATCCAAAACACTTCATCCCCAACCACATCTACCCATAGACCATCTACTGATTAAGGACATATGAGAGTTACAGACCCCCATTCTCTTTACACACGATCATATTGCAACAATATGCGTGATCAACTCAGATTAATAATACATATAATTAACATGGTACAAACACAGGAAAAATCATTTTCTTTCAAGATGAATACAGCATAAACAAAGAAAGCATCAAGAACCTCCCACTGAGATTATAGCCAGGAAGTTAGAAGAAAGGAGAAATACCAACACCCAGGTACATCTAAAGATTCAAGGTTAGTATAAACTATTATCAGGAAGTAATATAAAATAAAATTAGAATTTTACTTTTTACTGGAGAAACTGTAAATGAATGTGCATTATAATAAAATTTATATAAAATTAGAAGCCTAATCTCTTTGTAACTCCAGTAAAATATAAAAGGCAACTGATTCAGGGGTGGGTTCTACTCACCTTTACTACCGGTTCTCAACGGTGCCACGTGCGTGCGCTTGCTTTGTTCGTGCATGCATGCACACTCGCTCTTCTGCGCATACGCAGAAACTTCTGCACATGTGCAGAAGAGTTCTGATGACGTCGGGGTCAGTGGGCGGAGCCTCCCTCCGGTTTTACTACCAGTTCTATAAAACTGGTCTGAATCGGGGGCAATCTACCATTGAACTGATTCCACAGAACATTAGGGTACCGTATATTCAGAATATTTTACCACCAAAAGGCATTAGGCGTTAAACACTGAGCCTGGCTGCCCTAAATGTAATCCCAGGGTTACCTACCACAAAGGTAATTTAAAACTTTTGCTGATTCTTAAACCCAAATCAAACAAGCCCAAAAAATATTTCTCTGCTAAGCTTCAAAGTACAAAAGATTATGATTTTGTAGATGAACAGGAGGTAGAGAAGGAACAAACTGTACTTAGTAAGAAAAGGGCCAAGACACCCAGCTAAGATAGAGGGATTTAAGCTAGGTTAATAACAAAAAATGAAACAAAATCACAGAACCATATCAAATTGACCAGCAACAGGTTCATCAGGATGCTGAAAATGTGTTGAGTCTTAAAAGAAAGGATAAAAGTTCAGGCAAGCAAGCAAACAAGCCCAGAAACTAGATTCTGAGTTTTCCAAAGCCAGAAATTTCCAAAACTATTATGCAATGATTAAACACAGAAAACAACTAATGCTGGCTCTCCTGCTTCATTTTATAAGAACAAATGTATGAAGTCTTAAGAGAAGTACTTAAATTTCCCACTTTTGAAGGTGTTTTCTGTTGTGAAAAACAACACAGCTTCTAGAGGACAGCCAGGCAAATTTTGTGGGTGGACGTACATATTTGGAATGCTAAGAGCATGTTCTACCCACTCTTATAAAACAAGAAAATTAAAAAGATACCAATGAAAAGATGTTCCTGGCCAATGGAAAGATGTTTCCTGTAATACTTCAGCATGCATTTTAATCTCCCCCAGATTTTCTTTGAAGTTTTTTTCTGGGCAGGTGGGCACATATCCAAATAAAGCATTGGATTACAACCCCACACAGGTTGTTGTTTTTTTTAAAGGAGTTCTTGTAGTATATTTTAAGCCAGAAGTATTTTCAGAAGACTGGCATTTTCTTGTGTGCTCTGCCAGCTGCTCAGTCATTTTTTAAAATAAAACAAATTAAAAAAGAAAAAAGTTAGGTGGTACAAACAATAAAAACTTGATGGACACTAAGAGTGACTCCATGTTGCCTGACCCTAACCACGATAATAAAATTCAAGACAATCCAAAGTGATATACTTTTTAAAATTTCATTAAGTACAAAGTAATTGGAATAGAGGAAGAAATTGTAATAATTTGTTTAATTAATCACCCAGCTTAAAAAAAAAACCCGCCCAGATCTACTGGCTTTCAAATGAAGTGACTATTACGAATGAAGGCAAATATACGTGTCCCAGGATAATGTTGCAGGATCCAGAGGTTTAGTCTTCTAAACTTTTGGACTCGTGCTGGTGCCCATTCTCAGGGAACTTCTCTCTACCAGAATGTGACACATTACCGTACTGTGACACGTCCTGTTGAGAGAGAAGTTGCCCAAGGATGGGCTCCAGCACGAGTCTGAAATCTCGGAAAACTAAACCTGTTGTCCTGGTGACCCAGATTGGAATTGACCATTTTGCATATCGGTGATTTGCAAAACTGATTTATATAACTGAATTCAGTTTGCATATATACATGCTGTATTATCAGTCTGATATATTTTAAAGGTTTTGGGAAAGTTGAATAAACAAAATTACAGTCAACATTTGTTAAAAGAAAGTCAGTGAGAATTAAGTTGAAATATTACATTCTGTAATATATATGCATATTCATAAGCATACACAACACACAATTACAAACCTTCTTTACATAACTAAAAATATTACCCTATGTTCAATCCTATGTTAACCTGAGATTAATATGTTTATAATCATACAGAGGGTTTCACAGGAGCAGGCTAAGTTCTGCAAGAACAAATGTTATTTGTTGTAGATTATGAAATAATTGATATCACCTTTCTAGATTTGTTTTTAAACTCTATGCTTTCTCTCTCAAAATGAAGTATAAAATTAAGAGTTCTTACGTATAGGAATGGATGAGTTTATTGCTATTTTGAATTTCAGAAATAGAATGCACAGGCAAATGCATTGGTCTATACAGCTGCAGGATTACATAATATAGCTTTCTAGAATACAGTATGATGCTTTCAGGGATTGAACTAATATCCCAGTAGGATCAAAGGCCATGCTGGCAGAGTATTATGGAAGTTGAATCTAACACCTATGCAGGGTATCAGGATAGGGAAGACCAATATAATGCACTGGCAATCATAAACCCATCGTTTCATTTTCCAATGTATACAGCTGGATGTTTTTTGAAACTCGGCTTTTAGCAGGTTTGAGAATAGTGCTCTATATATGACATCTAAAAACAGAAGCAAGGCACTGAATTATTATTCACTGTGGGAGTTTTACTCAGAACCAAATTTGATACTTGTCAGATTGCCCTGATAAGACTTGATATTAAACCTTTAAAGTAATCCAGAACATTGTTTGGCAATACAGCATGAGAATCTTTACTTGGGATAAGCAACTTGTGGCACTTCATGTTCTTTTTGCAACTATTACCATTGGCCGCTTGGGGCTGCTGAAAACTATACTTCAGCACAAGCCAACAGGTTATGCAGATGTGGATAAAATTGTATGGAATATGATAACTGTGTGGAAATCAGAGACATGATGTGTTGTCCCCCCTCTATTTTCCTAAAATGAGTGCTAATGTTTCAAATAGTAATTTACACATACATAGAACACTCAATTTGGAAGGTAAAGTCTGAGGACAACTTTTTCCAACTTAAACAACTTTCAGACTCCCATGTTTGGTTCTCAGGTTGTCTCTGGAGAGGAGATAGTTTATGGTAGTTTGGCTTAGATGATCTGGAAAATAATGACTTAGTGACAAATTCACATGGGGTCAATGGAGGACAGTCAACTCAAAGGGGCCTGGGCATTCCAATCTTCCATCACTCAAACTGTATACAACATACAGAATGATTGTATGCTGTTACTATTTTTTTTTACCAAGAACCTTTTTAAATGAAAGATCACAACTTTGAAGTTTTTGCCTCTCATTAGTAAACCACTGATTTCATCAGCAAAATTCACAGAGCTTTCGACTTCCTATTCAATTAGTTTAAAACATAGACAATCCATTTTATTTCATTTTTTCCTATTATTCCTAAGTATATTTTGATCAAGGACAGATCATTCTATTTCTGAAAAAAAATGCATTCTATAGAATGCACTTAACTAAAGAAAGCCAGGTAAATTAACTGATTTATAAATGCTGACTGAACTACAAATAATATGTGGAATACCTTGAAAACATGTATTAGGGGGATAAAAATAATTCACATTACTAAATACATCATCTCTTATCAATATGTTATGCATGTGCAATGCAATGCACCCATTTAGTTAAGATAATATGAAGTGCATTTCTGAATTTGTTTTAAAGCCACCCTATGAGCAACAAAAAGAAAAAACCCTATTTGAATTTCAACATTTGTTGAGCATTAGGAATACAACTACAAGCCTATGCAATATATTAGATAGAGCTTAGACACAGACTTAGCAAATGTCAATGCACCATATGTAAGTTAATGTAGGTTCTTTTAAAAAGTAGAGTTAATATTTAAGGTTTCAGATGGGTATCTTCTAGGAGTAATATACATTGTTCTTACCATTTGAAACCAATATAGAGAATTCTGAGGGCCCTAACACTTAGAAGACACTCAATTACAGAAACTGATTTCCTATATTTTTTTCTATTTGTCACCTAACACGATGGATCTGACAATTCTACTGTTGGTGGAAAAGTCATCTATCTAGCCATCTGAAACCTAGTACTTGTGTGCATTATCTTGACAGAAGGTACTATTTTATAATCTATTGATTCTTAATTGGTCTTCAGCATTAACATGTCTTTTTCTGGATAGAATGTTGTTAGAGAAATATAGCCTTCCCTGAAAAGGTTAAAAACACAAAGAAAATACAGAAAGGGAACTGTGTAATGAGGGAATTGTGTGGATGGCCAGTAAAAAGATAAGTGAACAAAATATAGGAATGCCAGAGTGTAATTAGGGAAGCAATCTAATGATTAAATTCATACTACAGAGAACATTGACAAGATTTGCTGAGGTAATTAAAACATCAGTTTGCAAACCACACCATGCGTATTCATACGTTGTCTTACTTTGTCTCTTGCTAGCATTTCTCCAGAATACATTGTATTTCTAAATGCTTCATTACAAAAAAACAAAAAGAGGGGAGAAATACAATCCTTACACAGCATTACAGACAACATTCAAACCTGAGCATTCATGTATTAAACAAGCAATTTTCAGATGCATTTTCGGCCTGAAGTCCCTGGACAGCATTATCCAGCAAATCCATGCTATCTCGTAGTGTGACACTGAGTGTAAATGGCTTTGGTTTAACAGTCAAGCCATAAGTGAAATCCATTTTAGAATCTTCCTTTGGATTAGCATTGAAATTGCACTGGTGGACTAAGACGGCAGTAAAGAGAAAGAGTTGCACTTTGGATAACTCCTCTCCAATGCACCTTCGTTTGCCCACTGAAAAAATCAGCACGCTGCTAGCAAGGTCCTTATTCAGGAATCCACTCTCATCCAGGAATCTTGCTGGATTAAAAACTTCTGGAGAAGGCCATTTCACTGGGTCGTGGTTCACTGACCACTGATTGATGAAGATCACTGTGTCTTTGGGAATGTGGTAGCCCATCAAGATGGTATCGGCTGTGGTAGAATGAGGAATGGTAACTGGCACAAAGCTACTGAAACGCATAGATTCATATAAGAAAGCCATGACAGAAGGCAAATGGGGCTGATCCTCAGCACAGGGCAGGCGGTTTCGGCCAACGACTTTGTCTATTTCTTCTTGCAGTTTAGTTTGCACCTCTGGGTACCTGGTTAAAAACAAGAGGAGCAGCTGTTTTTAAAACACTTTCTTCAACTCTCTGAAAGCAGATATTATCCAGGCAAACCTATGCTACTGGGAACACATGAAGACAGGGCACAACTGTCAGGAAAGGGGAAGATACATATTGTACCTCTTGTGACTATGTGTTTTCCCTTGCAAATGCAGTTCTGGTGTAAAGTAATTGGGCCTTGCATTTTGGAGATGATTGTCAACTTTTTTTTTTTTTACTTTATATAAGTATCTTGCTAGAGATTCACACATATATTCTCTTTCTTTCATGTTCATTTTCCCAAATGAGTATAAAATTAATATCATTCTCCAATAATTTTACAGATGGACAAACATATTATGTTGAAAATCATGGCATACAAGGAACTGATCAACCACTCCATTCCCAACAGTTCTAACAGAAAATATATGACAATAGGCAAGTTAAAGAAAAGATAGCCGAACTTCTATTCTTTATTCTTTAAAACAATGCCCACTGTAATATTTTGATTGAATTTGACTGAAACAGGACTCCTAGTGAAAGTTCCTTTTTTATATTTTTATCCTGCCTTTATTACTTTATAACAAATAAGGTGGCAAACACATCTAATACTCCTTTCATCTCCTATTTTCCCCACAACATAAACCCTGTGAGGTGAATTGGACTAAAAGTGACTTGCCCAAAGTCACCCAGCCAGCTTTCATCTTCCCACAGACAAAATTTCTTCTGTCAACTGCACCACTTGGATCCACAAATATACTAGGCTGATATATTATGATATCCTAAATTCTTGGGAAGAACTCGATGCATATGAAAGCCAACACCAGATAAAGAACTGGCAATGTGACTCCACATTGTTGGGAACAGATAATAATAATAATGCCCACTAGAAATCCAGACTCTTGAATAAAAGTGAAAAAAAATGAAAATTACTTAATTAAGATCTGTTATTATGCTTATTTTTAATACTAATTCTGGTTACAATCAGTTGTGAAGTTTTTGACAGTTTTGAGGATTATTATTTCTAAGGGTTCTCATTTTCTGTTATGATCTTGATTCCTTTTTTATACTGCCATGTATCCCTATGGAGGGGCAGTATATTAATAAAAATATACATTAAAAGATGCAGCAAAGATTTCCTATTTGTCATCTACCCACAACATTACAATTGTCAATTGGTTTTTCCTAACCTAACCAAAGATCCAAGGAAGAGCTATTATTTGTTCCAAAAAAAAAAAAAACCCCACGATGTCGGAGAATACAAGTTTCACTGGAGATTCATATTAATGAAGAGCAAACCATGGAAAATCCATTCTTTCTCTAGAATTGATAACTGCAAATTTCAAACAGAAATTATCAGTAACATCTCATAACCCTTTGCTTTCTATAATCTGGTGGGAGAGAGAGATGAAAACAAACAACATTCATTAAAAATAATTGCCACTTGAACAGCTGAAATATTCATCATTCAAGATTATATCAGCCTGCAATAGTATTGACTAATATTAGATTGCTTAATTTCCTTAAAATACTGAAATATTCTCTGGTACATGGGAAGATATAAAAAGCTTGTTTAAATTATGAGTCGTTGGCCAGTTTGGTCTAGTGATTAAGGTACCAGGCTAGAAAGGGGGAGACTGAGAGTTCTATTCCCGCCTTAGGCATGAAAGCCAGTTGAGTGTCCTTGGGCCAATCCCTCTGTCTCAGCCCAACCCACCTCATAGGGTTGTTCTGGGAAAAATAGGAGGAGGAAGATGTGTTGGATATGTTTGCCACCATTAGTTACTTGTAAAAATAATAAAGATTGGGCACAAATAAATAAATAAATCTAGTTTTTTGCTTTCACAAATGGAGTTCTGTTCTTCCATGAGATGAAATTCTACTGGGGGGATGGGGGAAGGAGGCAATATTTTGCACGTTTCCTTTGTCCCCCTTCCACCCTCATTTGCTCCAAATGATTCAGAAACCCTCTAAGACTATCTGGCAGGTGGTGTGGGAATAAATGGGAAACATAAGTTTTTGCTTAGCACCAGCGCAGGTTAGATATCAGAAACCATCATGCAAATTTGTGTGATATCATCCTCCCTCTTTTTTAAAAAAAAAAATGCATAACTTTGCAAGGCTTCAAAATCTTTCATAGTGTCAAATCTTTTTACTCTGAACATTTCCAAATTCTTAATAAATATTCATCAACTTTTTCTGCTGTCCAGAATTCATAGTTTAGCTCAAGTGTAGACACCATAGAGGAGATATACGTAATGTATGTTTAAAAGGCACAAAAGTGGGGTCCAAATCCGGATCATGGTTGGAATACAGGAATGAATCATGAACCCTAATGCATTCAAACAGGATAAAAATTTCTCCCTCAATTTTAAATTTTTCTATTTTCGCCTGCTTTCATAGATTTTAGACTCTCTAGCTCAGTTATGTCCCCTGGACCGTGTTTTTTTTTTACTAACCTTTCTTATATTGTCCCAAAGGTGCTTTTTCAAGAGGCAACTGGACTTTCTGGTTTTTCTTTGAAGATGTTTCGCTTCTCATCCAAGAAGCTTCTTCAGCTCTGACTAGATGGTGGGGAATGGAAGGACGCCTTCAAAGAAAAACCAGAAAGTCCAGTTGCCTCTTGAAAAATCATCTTTGGGACAGTGGTGGGTTTCAAATTTTTTTACTACCGATTCTGTGGGTGTGGCTTTGTGGGCGTGGCTTTGTGGGCATGACTGTAAAATCTCCATTCCCACCCCACTCCAGGGGAAGGATACTCCCAATCAGCTGGGATTTGGGAGGCAGAGAATAGATGGGGGCGGGTCCAGTCAGAATTTTTACTGCCGGTTCTCCGAACTACACAAAATTTCCGCTACCGGTTCTCCAGAACTGGTCAGAACCTGCTGAAATCCACCTCTGCTTTGGGACGACCATGACCTGGATGACTGAGAATCTCCGTAGACTTTCTTATACTGGTACCTAACATTTCTAACCGCGCGCGTGCAGCGCACAATAGCTCCTCCAGTCTCCCGCCAACCAACTCACCTGATGAGGAAGATCAAGAGCCACTGCAGGGCGGTAGAGAGAGTGTCCTGGCTGGCGCCGAAGATGTCCGTGACGGTGGCCGGCACATGCTCCAGAGACAAGCCAGGCTGCGTTTGCTGAAGGCGGATGAAGGCGTCCATCAGGTCGCGTAGAGGGTCTCCGGGGCGGAGGCTGTTCCGATGCCAGAGAAACTTCTGGCGGACGAAGCTGTAGAACTCGTGATTGAGAGCGCGGAAAGCGCGGAAGGCTGAGCGCACCGGGTTGGGAAAGCGCTGCAGCCAGGGCAGCACGTCGACCACGCTCCCGGCGCCCACCGTGCGCCCGAACTGCTCGTTTCGACCCACCAGCCGCCGGAACTCGACGTCGGCGTGGCTATAGCGGCGGCCGAAACAAAGCGCGCTCATGACGTTAGCCACGGCCACCCCCAGGCTCCGAGACGGATCTACGAAGGCGCCGCCGGCGCAAGCGCTCACCAGGAGACGCACCACAGTGCGCGCCTCAGCCAGCAAGGGCTGCTCCAGGAGGCGGTGCGCCGAGAAAGCGCGCAAGGTCGAGTGCGCCAAGCGCCTCTGCAGTTTCCACAGCTCGGAGTAGCCTCCGAAGGCCAAGCTGCGCCCGCCGGAGACCAGCTGAAAGGAAGGGAAAGGCGGCCTACCCGCGAAGGCGGCCCCTTGGCGGATGAGGGCCTCGCGGATGGCGCGCTCGCCGCTCAACACTACCACTGGCCATCTGCCGAGGCGCAGTTGGAAAACGCTGCCGTAGGTAGCCGCCAGGCGCCCGAAAGCTAGGTGAGGGGCGCGGCCCAGTTGAGCGGCGTTGCCCAGAAGGGGCCACGGGAAAGGACCCGGCGGTTCCAGCCTCCTCCGTCGCGACCATTCGAAGACCAGAAATTTCACCGCCTGGAAGGCGAGCAGCAGCGAGAGGAGGAGGAGCAGCAAGTCTTGCATTGGCGGCACGCCGGCCCGGAGCGCTTCTTCCAGCCCGCGAGGGCGCGCGCTGCGGAGAAAAAGAGGCTCTGCCTTAGGAGCGCTTCTGTGGGTCAAAACTTACATGTGTTGCACCAGACTCCGGTGCTGGTTTTCAGTGCCAGCTTGTAAAATGCGTACATTTAGGGGGACCAGATATGGGTTGCGACATTATTGCGTCGCCTTAAAAAAAACCAAGGACTCCACTTTGTACACTTGGATCTATCTGTATCCCAAAGAATTTCCCCTCCTGTGGGAAGATACTCAGACCTTCAGTCTCTCCTCTGAAGCTTAGAGTAAAGAGCCCACAGACAGAATATAATTAGAGGCAGTTAATAAACTGACACGTGTTGGCTTTCAATTATGTATTGCATGTTTCCAAAACCTATAATCTCCCTCTTGTGTTTTTCTGGTTGGTTGCATTACTAGTTATAGATACTTAGAAATAAAAACAGCAGGGGCGGTGGCTCCATGGGTGGAGGGAAATGGTGCCCAAAATGTCAAGGTGGGTGCAATATTTATCAAAAGGGGTGAGGCTTCAATTGCACAGTAATAGCTGCCATCTTGACTTTTTTTGATCATCACCACTACCCATGCCCCAGAAAGAGGCTGGCTTATCTGTGAAATTTGTGAATTTCTGTTCGGCTGTAGGAAGCAACTTTTCTTTCAAGTGCCCAGAGTGAAGTGCACTGGGTATCTAACTAAAAAGTTTTAGTTCTTAATACATCTTCCTAAGAGTAACTTACTTGCATGCTGAAGAATTCATACTGTAAATATCCAGAAGGACAAGTGATACTTAAGGGAGACAGCATTTAATGCAGTAATATTGAACTATAATGGAAGAGAACCATTGACTTCTAGAGCAAAGATTTCCAGTTTAGATTTCCAGTTCCATAGAGTTCTACCAGAAAGTTGAAAGTTCAATAATACTATATAGGAACTTTTTCCTATATAGAATTTTCATATTTGTGCTATTTGATAAGCCACATCTAAATAGAAAAAAAACCAATAAAAATACATAGCAGGGAACAGGAAGATCTAAAGTTACTAGAAAGAGTATCTTCGTGTATAACCAGTTTATTGCATCGTTGACCAAAGGAGATCCTTCAATGAAAAAAAAAGGCATCTGAACAGCATTTATGTATATTTATATTAATAGGTTCTCTTCTCCTCTGGGATTACATCACAAAATGAGAGCATCTCCTAAAAGGGCTGGGTTCTCACAAACTAAGGTTCATTTGACAGGGATTTGTTCCCTGAGTTTGCATAATACACTAAAAACTGTGTTACCTGAATTGAATGCATAACATAGTAAATTACAAACTAGTCAATAATATTTTAGATTCATACATAAGATGAATCCAACCATAAAAAGTCATTTCACTGAACTTACGGGGGATTCTACTAAACTCGAATCTCTTTATTAAATCTCTGTTCTAACTTGCTAATTTCAAAATAAATCCATCTCATTAAATAATAGATGTTAGCAAACTACTTCCCTTCTCCCCCAAAATTAATGCCACTGGTTTGAGCTAATCTGATCTGCTGTATATGCAAAGTGTTTTACAGGTTTTGTTTATTGAAATGACTTAGTGTCTTAGGATGAAGTGTAACATTTCCAAGACCACCCACAAATGGGGATTTGGCAGTGAATCCAAACAGCATTGTATCCATATTGCTTGTTGGCTCTTCATTTTCTTAACACAAAGGTTGGGATGGATAGAAAGTCAAGATAATCCTTAGGAAAGCCTGGAGCTACATGTCTGAACTGCAAAAATACCATAAGACTTAGATAGCAGCAGAGAGATTCAGAAAATGCTGAGTACTGCAATCTAGTGGTTTTCCAGATTTTTGCAGGCCAAAACATTCCTCCTCCCCCCTATATGAGATGTATGTGAAGAACAGGAAAACTACAGCACTATTGCCACACATTTCTGAATTTTTGAGTGTAATAAAACATTTATGCTTTGCCTGCCTTTTTAACTAGCTCATGCAATTAACTTGACTAAAATATCCTAATATGCAACTCAATTTAACCCATAGTTGAAGGCAAAAACCAGTTTCAGTAGTATTTGGTCCTAAGTGGATCCATAAATATTTGGGGGCGGGGAGCCCATTAACTTCAATAGAGCTTTTTTCCATATAACTAGTGAAGGATGAAGCCTTTTATCTTGATACTAACCAGTGAAGTTAATTGTTAGATTCAAACTGAAGTGAATAATTGTAACTTGGCAGTAACTCTTCAGCTCGATTTCCTCTCATCAGATACATTGAACAAGGAATCCAGTAACAACAACAGAAGAGGCTATAGTTGTAACAGGGTTACTAGAATTTATTCAGAAATCTAATCAATAATTGATGAAGCATACTTGTACATAATGCGGAATTCAGCAAGTTGGTAATATTTGGTGATGCACTCGTCCACAAACTAGCCAACCATATTTTGGGTTAGTGTAGTTGTATAGAACTGTACAACTGTACAGTTGTACAGAAAATAGGTTAAATGGAAAAAAAACCCTGAAGGTACAAACAATTATGGGCAAGCCACTGTGAGAACAGAGTAAAATCAGGTATTAGCTTTCAAGTTAAAGATGTGGAATACCTCAATGTTTTGGTGGTCATCCTAAAGTCAACATTTTTAGAAGCTGATAGCTGCAAATCACATGGAATATTGGGACCTAAATTCCAATTCAGAAAAATAAGGTTTTTAACTTGCCATTGTAAAGTCAAACGTTATAACTCAAAGAGACACTGGAAGACAAGAGGCAGTTTAAGATTCTAAGGAACACATGTTAGCAGCTTGAGTTGCTATGGAGAAAAGAATTTGAAAGTTCCCACAACATATTGTGAAAGGAACCTCTTTGCATGGTTTAAAAAAAAAAAAGACCGCAGACTTTTCCTTCAGTGGTATTATACCATAATGAAAGAAGACACCTGTATTTTGCAAAATGGTAAAAGTAAACTCTACCAAGCTTTTGTTCGATACTTTAATGACTGATTCTAATTTCTATTTGAACAAATTAATTTTGATTTACCCTTCTGGTTTTTATTCCACTTGGTAAACCGCCTTGAATATTGGAATAATCAGAAAGTAAACAAACAAACAAACAACGCCTATCTCATTTGACGTGCGTGGGTAGATAATCTCATCATCGCCACGGCTTTATTACAGGCTGACATTAACCACAAAAGAACCATCCCGTCCTAAAAAGGAATGGAGCTCTTTCCAGTCTCAGGACTAACCTGTTCATTAACGCTTCTCCCAGGTCTCTCTGGGTCATAATGCCGCCGTTCACGAGGGAGCTGTGCGCACAAGTGGTTGCGGTTCGCGGTCTTGAGAAGGTGGAGAGCAGCTTAAGATCGTCGTCTGGGACCGGGGCTGCCGGCGATCTAAGATGCCGCTGTCGCTGCTGTCTGTCTCTGCCGCCGCCGCCGCCGCCGCCTGTTAGAGATCCCGATCGGGCAAGGAGCCGGTTGGCGTGTTCTGAGTTGCACCGGCCGCTCAGTTTAGCTCGGCGTCCGGGAAAACCTCTTGCGCTGCAGTTGCCGAGAAAGATGGGGCGGGGAGAAAGAGAGAAGTTAGTGAGTGAGAGAGTGAGAGTGAGAGAGAGAGAGAGAGAGAGGGAGGGAGGGAAGGAAGGAAGGAAAGGAGAGAGAGAGAGAGAGAGAGAGAGAGAGAGAGAGAGAGAGAGAGAGAGAGAGATCTTTTTGGCGCACTTAAAGCGACCACGCTCGACCAAGGCGAGCGATCCCTAAAGCATCCAGCCAGCAAACGCTTGAGATGGCGGCAGGGAAAAGCGCCCTCCTCTTCTTATTATCCCCGGGGGCTGGAAAAAAAAGTTTCTATCCTTCGAGTGTCACCTCCCCGTTGCGTGCAGAGTTGCATTGCGTGATCTGTTGATGGAAAGCCTCTGGCCATCCCCTCCCCTCCCTCCCTCCCTTCCCTTCCCCGCATTAGATGCTCGCACACGCGAGATCCGAAGGGGGGGGGGGGAGAGAAGGGAGTCCAAGGAATTGCAGAGAGGGACGGGCTCGAGGCAAGCCCTCCGCCCGGGGACCAAGCGAGTTTCGACCCTTCCCAGAACTGTTTTCAAATGCCGCCATTCTTTTCCCCAAATCTGGCTAGAAAAAGAGTGGTCGGTTTCTATTATCCAGCTTCATTTGGCAAGGTGAGGTAGGAGTTTGGGGTAGATCTTGGGGGCATCGAAGCTAAGCAGGTTTGATTGAACCTCCATAAAACTTTAGAGCTACAGACAGCTTAGAAAATTGAGAAAGGTCCCAGAAGAATTTAGTGGCAGACCATTTTCTCTGCTATAGTCACAACGTGCCTGGATGTCCGGATGAAGGCATCAAGAAGGCCATGCACCAAAACAAAACCTTCAAAGAATAATGGATATTGGCTTGGTGGTTCCCCATGAAGCCACATTTTGAGTGGGTTCTGCCCAGCCAAATTTCCTCAATGGTGGGTTCCCTTAGAAAAATCATCATTTATGGGTTCTCTGACAGGCAAAGCTGATTCCATAGAAATCACATAAAGCCAGCTTAATATTATGGCATCATGCAATGTGTGACTCCTGGTAGTGGCTTCCTAGCTGAAGGATATCAGAGGCTGAGTCAGACCTTCTATCCTTTGTGGATGTTCTTATAGAAAAATATCACTTAAGAAATCAGAGGCTCTCAGAAAACATTCTCCACTTGCATACAGTTTTATTTCTCGGGAACGTATAAATGATAGTGTAAATTGGTACATGTAGCCAACTTGCTCTAAAACAAGATAACAGGAGAATTAATGACATTCTGCAATTGGAAGGGAATCCTAGTAGACACATTGGGAATTTTGGGAGTGGGTCATGACCATTCCAAAAAAAAAACAAAACCAAAAAACAGTTGCCATTCTGGGTATGGCCAGTCATAGGACACCCATCCCCAAGAATGCAAACTTGAGAGATCTCTCCCCACTACCTTCTCCAGCTTCCCAAGATATTGTCTGCAAGAATTAGTCTTATGAGATGGTCCAGAAAAGCCCAGCTAGAAGTACTGGATCCATCTTTACTGTTAAATTACATTAACATAATCTTGTGAGTCTGAATGTATCTCATCTGTCCTTCACCTTTACTGTCCCCAAAATTACAAAGAGTCCCTTCTGAGGCATTTTCGCTACCCCTCCTTCACACTCCAATTTTGTTTAGCATACCACTGTCTAGGCTGCAGCTCTTCCTCCTATCTCCCAAAGTCATTTTCAGATAGCAATAGCACTTAGACTTATATACCATTTCACAGTGCTTTACAGTCATTTTAAAGCAATTTACAGAGACAGCATATTGCCCCCAACAATCTGGGTTCTCATTTTATTGACCTCAGAAGGATGGAAGGCTGATTCAACCTTGAGCCAGTCAGGATTGAACTGCTGGCAGTCGGCAGAGTTAGCCTGCGATACTGAATTCTAACCACGGTGCCAGCACGACACCACCATTGCTTCAAAGTTATAGCCAGCTTAAAAAGAGAGGAAAGCTTATAAGTGGTCCCCAGTTTATGACCATTTGTTTAGCAACTGTTTGAAGTTACAGTGGTGCTGAAAAAAATGACTTATGATCAGTCCTCACATTTACTGTATAACCATCACAGTGCTCCCATAGTCATGTAATCAAAATTTGGACACTTGACAACTGGCATGTATTTATGACAATTGCAGCATCCTATGGACATGTGATTACAATTTACAATTTTCCCAACTAGCTTCCATCCAGCAAAGTCAATGAGAGAATTGAGATTCACATAATGACAAGAACAGATTAAGGATAGATTGTCATGGAGAAAATCTATCTATGTGGTCATTAAGAGTAAAAAAAAAGTTGATGGCACATAATCAGTCAATCAAGATGGGTTCAGCCATGATATTTTCTTGGTAACTGTATAAAAGGGATTGATTATTGCTGATTATTAAGATGGTTAGGGGGCACTTAGACTTATATAACTTCATGAAACATATGAAGAACAGTTGCGTGAATTGGATATGACTAGGGGTGACATCATACGGTAGCAGTGTTCCAATATCTAAGGGCTGCCACAAAGAAGAGGTGGTCAACTTTTTCTCCAAAGCATTTGAAGGCAGAACAAGAAGCACTGGATGGAAACTAATCAAGGAAAGAACCAATCTAGATGTAAGAAGAAATGTCCTGATAATTAGAACAATTAATCAGTAGAATGACTTGCCTCCAGAATTTGTGGGTGCTTCATCACTGGAGGTTTTTTAAGAAGAAACATTTGTCTGAAATGGACAACCATTTGCCTGAAATGGTATAGGGTTTCCTGCTTGAGCAAGGGGTTGGACTAAAAGAACTCCAAGGTCCTTCCAACTCTTATTGCTTTCTAGGTTACACCCCTGATATTCCCTAATAATCTTATTAGTAACAATCCTATCTGATTGCAACAATCAGTAAGTAACAATCCTATTTGATCCTGCTTATATTCTAATCCCAGACAAGGTACAAATATGATTGGACCAGAGTTCCCAGGATTCCCAGCCAACATCCAATGTTTGGAAATTCTGGATGCTGAAGTCCAAGTTTGAAGAATGGGGAAGATAGCTGTACAGTCTAATCTAACTGGAATTGGGAACACATCGAAATGAAAAGATACCTGAAATTTCCTATATAGTAAGCATTTCCTGTTTGATGGTTACTTCTGCAATGCCAACTTTGGTCAACACCTTGGAGATGTATTCTTCTATAAAGGCGTATGCTTAACTTTTTAAGTTAAGTAGAGAACTGGTGTACTTGGTAGGGATAAGATATTTCTACTTGAGTGGAAATTTTAGATTTTAATCTACTTCATATATTTTATTTCAGTGTATAATAGAATAGATGTAGAGAAGCCTATCATGAATTATGTGTTTATTAGATGTCATTTCCATTGTTGATTTCCCTTAAGAAAACTACAAATAAAATACTACAGAGAAAATAGTTTGTGTTATAGTAGATTGTACAGAAGTGTTTAAAAGTGTGTGGGGAAGGATTTGACTTGGATAGTCCATTTCTACTTGCCTGCCTATGAGAGAAACTTATGTTCATGAATACAATTGTTAGTTTTTCCTTTTAAAACTCTTCATTGAGATATTTATATACTCTATCATAAAAATGTACCTCAGGCAACATTTCATCTGGTTTACAAAATCAGAGAGAGACTAGAGATTTATGGGATTAGAAAGAGGAAGTTTATCCAGTCCATAAAGCTCTTTTCATCTGCTTTGTGTTCTCTGTTTGATTCCTATTTGGCTGTAAAAATACATTTTCTGCACATCATTATTATAGTTGGCTTTTGTCACAGACATTGGAAGATACTGAGATCATAACCAATCCACCCTCAATCTTCTCCTATGTATATGTTGATAGTTTCCAGCTATTGAGCTATTCTCAATGCTGAAAGTAATATACATGAGAGCACAAGAAGGTAACATGTTTGAATTGCAGGCCCATGTGAAATTTTGTGAGCGTATCACAAAATGGCTGTTAATGTACATTTCCATGGCAAGGGAACAGAAGGGAACAGGTGATAAAACAGTTGTTGAAAACTCTGCCTTTTATGAACATGCATGTGATGTCATGCAAGCATAGAAAGATAGAACTTGTATTAGGATATGATGGACATTTTGTCATTTTGTCATAGTTGTGATTAAGTCATATCTGTGGTTACCAAGATTATGCAGCCAATCACAAAGGATTGTGGAAGGGGGAAAAAGACAAATTGGCAAGCTTGCCTCTCCCCATTATCCTAAGATACTCACTCACTCACTCACTCTGGTGGAAAAATTTCAATGCAAAGCATTAAATTGTTACTTTTACTTTCCAAGAATGCCTGATTTGGGACCAAGAGGCATGCTTGAATGCTGGAAGTTATTGCTTTGATTTGCAGCAGGCCATTTTCCCATTTTAAAATAATAATAATAATAATAATAATAATAATAATAATAATAATAATAATAATAATAATGCCAGTCAATGATATTTGTGATACATTTTTAAATGCTCAGTTGACTGGGTTTCATATATAATGAATAAAAGATAATAATAATAATAATAATAATAATAATAATAATAATAATAAATTGATATCGCGGTACCAGGAGACGCCAGAGTCGAAGAAAAAGAATTGGAAAAAATCATGAAATATCATGACCTGGCCATCAAAACTATGCAATTATGGATGAAACATGTAACAGTGATACCCATTGTCATCGGGGCTCATGGTACCATGTCCAAGAATTTTATGAAATACATCAAGAAATTGCAGCTTCCTGCAATAACACCAGCAGAACTGCATAAAACTGCAAGTTAAGAAAGTACTTGGTTGATACCTAGGACACTGGCCCGTATCAACCATTAGCACCAGTCAATGGTATTTGTGATGCATTTTTGAATGTTCAGTTGATTGAGTTTCATGTTTAATGAATAAAGTATATAATAATAATATAATCCCCAGTGAGGCACTACCTTGATATGGTTGTAGAGCTTGTCCACTCCAAGGATAATGAGAGCTACACCAAAGGTTCAACCGTACTGGACAGGTCTCATCAGAGGAGCCAGATGAAGAGTGCCTCTCCCATAAATCATATGATGAGATGTAATTTATAGAAATATACTGGTTCATTACCCAGTTCAACAAGGACTGCACTAGGTGCTGGAGTTCCTGGACATTTGGTGACAAATGGGCTACAGAAATAAGGATTGTGGGCTGACAAATTAGGGCCAGGAGCTGCAGGGTTACTGGAAGAGAAATTTTTAACTGTCACAAATATACAAAGACTGAAAACAAAGAAATAAGGATTTGCTATTACAAATCAAGTCCAACAGGAAGAGG